GAAGAAGAAGAAGAAGAAGAAGAAGAAGAAGAAGAAGAAGAAGAAGAAGAAGAAGAACCCTGTCTTTCTTTTTGCCTGTTTTTTCTTTTTATGTTTGTATTACGAGCCTGCATTGTTTGTTCGTAAAATTTTGCTCGTGGTGATGCGGCGAAAAACCCCAAATTTTGGGCCCTCCATTAACCATCTATTCTATTTGATTTTCCCTTTGCCTTTGACACACTTGTTCAACCTCCCATCAGAACGTCATCGTTCGAGCTGGAGCATGGAGTCCCCACCCAACTTTTTATGAATTCCCTTATTCCTCCCACGACTAAGACGGATCTTCCCATAAGATCCACCTTTGGGAACAAGTCGCACGAGGTGATTTTGACGGCCAAGATAAGATGACTCGCCCACAGCTTTGCATGCAGCAATACCTTGCCCCTCTTGTACAGGTGATGAGGTTTCGGTTTTGGTGGAGGAATTCGTCGCAGAGCAGAATACTTCCCACAAACTCCTGCCCAAAGACCTATCCATGTTTAGGCTTCTTCCGCGGATCAGCCCGATCACCCTTCATTCATCCTCGACCTTCGCTCGCTATCTTGATGCAGAGATTGACTCCTTTCCAGACCGTGGTTAGTAGAGCCTCCTTCTATGGATTGTTTTCAAGAGGTTCAAAATCATTGCACATCGGCAAAATACCAAAATGCCCATGTGCTATAAAGTTCATTTTGCATGGTCCAAACCTCATGTTGATCATTGGCTTACCCATGAGGACTTCCAGGACACGGCTCCAGACATTATCGCCCACTATGAGTGTCAATGTTGTGCAGATGGAACAGCCTCAAAAGTTCACCCCGTCCAGCCACCCAAGACTCAGATCCCCCCTTTAGATTATCAGCCTCGCCTTTATGGCCTTCTCACAGCCGAAAGGCCTCAGCCATCATGAGGCCCCTAGGTGAGGTCATCCGCCGACAAGCTTGTGTATTGTATTGTGTTTGCTCTCAGATTCAATTTTGTCCGGTTTGCTTTGCATTTGATCCTACATATGTTGTTGGTGTCAGTACACTTTCCTTCTCTGCCAATTCATTTAGTCTTGGTCTAGATTTCGATTTTGGGGCTTTTGTCCAAACAGCCACAGGTCCGAACCGGCCCATACGATTTCACGTTTTGGCCCAGCTCGTCTGTTTTAACTGGGCCTGTGTCCATCTTTTTATGCCAATGTCGATTTTCTTTCCAGGCTCTGTTGCTGACAAAGAAATGGAAGGCAGCTAATCAGGTAGGGACCCTAGCCACTCGTTTTAGGGCCTGGGTGACTCAGCAGGAGATGGCATCCTTCACAGGCCATCTGATTCTTGATCCGATCAGGCGGTCTAGGAGGGAGGCCAGGTAGGTTGGTGGCTGGCCCAGTAGTATATAGGAGAGGCTGGCCTTTCTTTTTTCAATTGCTCCAATCTATTTGTGGGGAGCAGCGCGTGCTGGGAACCGGGCCCAGCGTCCCTTACAATGGAAATACATTGATGATTGATGATCATTCATGATAATTTGGGATGATTGAGGATCATTTAGGATGATTCACGATGATAGAGTGGACGATTGAGGTCATGAAATAGAGATAGAGGATGCCTAATCAGAATGATTGTCTACTCAACACCCAAATACTATCCTATCCCTAATTTCCTGTATTCATTCCAACCAACCAATCACAACTGAGCCTGTGCGGTGCACCAATCAGGCCTCTTCCCGGTCTCACACCCCAATCTAGCTTGGCTACAGGGCAGCGCTACCCACCCCAGCTCCGACCATCATTGGCCAGATTGCAGCCATTAGTGAAGTTTGCAGATTGCCTTCCTCCCTCGGCAATCCCAGACCTCTATATAAAGCCTCAAGCTCCCACTCAAGCAGGTTACAGGGCACTGCCAGCGTCGTTCTGGTGACAACTCAACCTTGTCATTACACAAAAAGGCTCAATTAGGGAGATTGTAGCCATTAGTCAAGCAGATTGCCTTCCTCCCTCGGCAATCCCAGACCTCTATACAAAGCCTCAAGCTCCTACTCAAGCAGGTTACAGGGCACTGGCCCAGTGCCAGCCAACGTCGTTCTGGTGACAACTCAAGGCTCGCCATTACACAAAAAGGCTCAATTAGGAATTAGCTAAGCTAGAATGCCAACTAGAAATCTAGGATCTGATAATATCAGAATCCTGATTAAAAAAAACCTTTCTGATGATGAGGGTTCCCCTTGGTAGGCTGCATGCTTCGGAGGAAAAAAGTGAGCG